CCACTCTCTAGTACCACAAAACGACCCATTTCCACCCTCAGCACACGGCTATGTTCGCAAGCCGCGAGTCTGATCTCCTGGCAAATTATACAGACTGGGAAATCATTTGCCAAGATTGCTTCACAGAGTCTTCAAAGATGATCGCAAAGGTTGTCGTGAACTGGGAATGAACCGCATTCATCTAGACGGAAAACTCGCAAAAGGGCGATAATATCTGTATCATCTGCGCTACGACCTGAGAATTACGTAGTTTCAATGAATATTCAATCAATTTTTCCCTCGTGGCAAGCTCCATAGGAGAAATTCAGTCCTTTCGGCTCAGAAGAGCGTACCAGCGTACCAAACAGAATTTTGCCATCCTAGAAACTGTCCTGTTTGGTGCCGCAATTAATAGGCCCTGATCGATGGTGGCAGGGCTCTGGAACCAGCTCCATCCCTTTATTATGGAGACCAAACGCCTTCGTACCAGTTGCCGAGTTCGCAGACACATTGCGTGGGGTCTTCGATGGACTTGTCGAGCCCTCTCGCCCACTCGAACATACGGCCCGTTTGACTTCGGCAGATTGCGAGAGCAATACATAGCAGTATGCAGAATCGCCGAGGAAAGCGAAGTAACTCGACCCGATGGCTGTCGATTACTTCTAGGAGACCATTTCAAGGTCCTAGGATGAGGGGTATGTTGGACCATACTTTTCCGCCTCTCATCATGTGGGTATCGTCTGATTTATAACCCTGGAGGCATTGGGTCGTCGCAGTCGACCTGAGCTGGCCTTCGACTTCTCTTTGGCTATGAAGACCATCCACATGCGAATTGATTCTGTTCCAAGCAAACAGTTTTCGCAGAGCCTGCCTTGAACATCTCACGGCTTCATCCTGTTCATGAATAAAGCAAAAAAGGGACTATCGTAAGGACGTACAAAAATACCTAGGAAACCCGACTCGTGGAAACTCTTGTTATCTGTGACCTTTTTAAAGCATCAATTTGAGGATAAAGATCCCCGCAGACCCGCACGTGCCAAGAAGCGGGCCGACTTTATGCCGTCATCCATGCGCTGTTTTGTTTGTTTGTCTGGTCGGATGCATGGTTACGGTATCGCCTTGTAGACGCAGATAACTTCAGCATCTAAGAGGTAATGCAAACTGAAGGAGTACTACTTGCTCTGCTGCTGATTGAAATTCTGAAGTAGGATCTACAAAAAATACCTAGCATTATTGAAAATCCCCTAAGTCGGAATTCACAAAGATATCATATCATGGTGTGCTGCTTCCCCTCACCGCAACAGCTGATAGCCAGATCATATCAGGCTGACCAAGACTATTGCAGGTCTCAAATACACCCTTCCGGCCGTCGCCCTTATCCTTTGGGTCTCCTCGAGCTTCTCCCTTTCGTCGACCATCTACACCCAACTCGCCGCCCACACAGATCCGGCCCAGCACACCAGGAACGGCAGGAAGCTCTCCGGGGCGAGGATATACTCCAGTACAGTCACCAAGCAAGTTAAACCAGACATATACAGTCACAGATGATGATGGCTCCTCTCCGAAGAGCAGCAACCCAATCCCGCAACCCAAATTCACCAGGGAGTTGCCGTCCTCGCCAACCAAGGGAGCGGACGCCCCCGACGATTCCTCCTCCATCATGGAAGCAAAGACTGCCAGCATGATGGCTGCTTCGAGCGATGCCGCTGCCAAATTGGCACCGACGCAGTTGAGGGAGATTCGCGAGGCATTTCAAGTCCTTGACAGAGACAATGATGGGTCCGTGAACAAAGACGATGTAGCTGATGTACTCGTGAACATCGGTAGGCCCATTGCATTCTCTGTATTTCAAGGAGGTTGGACTAACCCGTGCTACAATTTAGGCCAGGATGCCTCTATAATTTCGCAATTCTTCCCTCCAGGAAGCGACCAGACGATCAATTTCCCTACATTTCTGAATATCTTATCTACTCTACTTGCGCCTCTTTCTTCTCGCCAGGAACTGATGAATGCCTTGGCTGCTTTTGACGACGATGATAGCGGACAAATTGACGTTGCAGAGCTACGCGATACCCTCTTACACACGGCGTCGGAGGATGGGCAGTCACCGCTGACGGAGAAGGATATCAACGAGGTATTGAGTGGATTCACCGGACGCAGAGTGTTTGGTGGGAAAGTCGGGAAACTGTCTGGAGGAGGAAAAAGAGGAGAGGTGTTTCGCTATCAGGAATTTGTTGATAGCGCTATAGGAGGATCAGTAAGTGGGCGCCGCGATCCTGATACCGGCACGAAATAGGACTTAATAGTTGCTGTGAGTTTGGATACGGCGTTTTGGGGAGGCGGCGAGCTTGTGTTTGACATATGAGATGTATACTGTATACTTAATTCTCGGCTCTGGAAGCTGTGCAACGACGTATATTCTTACTGATTGCATCCAAACAGAAGTACTCTACCTCCCTAAGTTATTCAAGACATCCATGGGTTGCTCCTACACATGACGTTTCTGTTGGCGGGCCGACGGCTTATTTACGAAGACCAACATGATCCATCACAACCCCCATCTCTTTCACCTCTTTTTCTTCTCAAGAGATACGTATCTGGAAAATAAATAAAGAAGAAGTTATCTCCCGGTTGAAGCATCAATAATTTAATTGTGGCGCGTCGCGTGTCCCCGCATTCCTCGATCGGGCAAAAGCCCGCCATGCCCTGAGATGCATACTGGGCGCGGATCGTCCGAACCTGCATCTAACTACGTTTCTTATCCCCGGAATACACTACTAGACTCTCGGCACTAACAGCTGCTTATTTCTTTCTTCTCATCCTTTCTTGGCTGCTGTCCTCCTCGCCAGGAAGATGGTCCTTTCCTGCGATCGTCTCAGCAGAGATTGTTTGCGCTAAAAAGGGAAAAAAAAAACATACCCCTGTTTCATAGTCATACAGGACCAGCCATGTCCCAGCCAACACAAGCCCAGCTGAATCTAGCCGCTCTTGCGGGCTCTTCTTCACCCCGGACGATGCGAACTTTACGGAAGATACAGTCGCATCAGATCCTTTCGTCGAATCCTTCTGTGGTTAGCGGTCCGACATCATATCTTTCCACTGCGCGGTCGTCCGCCAACGCCGAGGAGCTGGCGCAACAGGCACAATTGGATTCCCCTGTTCGTCTGCGACACCGCCGGGCTAGGTCGAATAGTGACGCCGGCTCTGGTGAGCGACCCATCTTACAGACTCAGAAACGATCGGGGAGGAAGACCGGCTCGGGGTTTGGAATCAAGAGATCGGTCTTGGAGACGCTGCTACGGGATGGGCCGCAGAATGGGGACGTCGAGGATGCACTGAAGGAATTGAGATACCTTGTCTTGTCGACAAGGGTGGAAGCAGATGGTGATGGCATGGTATGTGGATATTTGCAATAGCGCCGTGACCTCTGGGGGGAGGATGAGCCTGCCATGCTAACATCTATGTTCTAGTCGACATATCGCGTTTACCTATGGCTCACACTACTCGATATTCCCCCTGTACCAACCGACGAATACCTCTCACTCATACATCGCGGGCGTTCGCCGGCTTATACCAAGATCCGCAACGACACATTCCGCACCTTAGCAACCGACCCCTTGTTCAAGCGACGCGTCACCGAAGCCAGCCTGATCCGACTACTCAACGCCACAGCATGGAAAATCCACGATGCGAAGGCCAAAAAGCGACCGAAATCGCGCCTATCGACCTCCCGCAGGCGGGAAATGGAGCTTTTGATCAACACACCACCGAGCATCGCGGAAGAGGAGCCTACAGACGACCATGCCAACATCCTCATGGCAACACCCAGCAGCGAAGCCATCACCAGCGAGTCGGCGATCTACGTGCAGGGGATGAACGTTCTCTGCGCGCCCTTTCTGTACGTGGCGCGCAGCGAAGTCGAGGCCTTTGCGCTGTTTCACTATTTCATTACCCGCGAATGCCCAGGCTATATCCGCGGCGCCATGGACGGCGTCCACCGGGGTCTGCGACTGGTCGATCGATGTCTCGAGATCGTCGAGCCGAAGCTCGCGGCCTATCTCTTCTCCAAGGGGATGCAAGCGGAGCTCTATGCCTTCCCATCAGTGCTGACACTGTGCGCCTGCACGCCGCCGCTGCCCGAGGTGCTCCACCTGTGGGACTTCCTCTTCGCGTACGGCCCACACTTAAATATTCTATGCATCGTTGCGCAGCTGATCCGGATGAGAGATACCATTCTCGATAGTCCAAGGTATGTTTTCTTTTTCCCGCATGAGCAATATCAACAAGTCGCATTATCACATTGCTATGCATGGACGAGTCGATTCTGACCAATCACACAGTCCAAACAAGATCCTCCGGTCCTTCCCGCCGCTCGACGCGAAGGAGATCATTGCCCTGACCGTCCTCATTGTCCGGAAGATTCCTGATGCTCTCTATGCGGAGCTGATCGATCATGCTAAATAGGCCTGTTGGTCGTATCGCCAATGTAACATACCAGGTAACATGTATTATCTACAGCTTGCATTTTTGCCTTTCTTTTCTTTTTTTTTTTTTTTTTTTTCAGCCCAATTGGGTCATGTTATGTTTCCGCTTGAGTTCTGCTGTGTTGTGGCTACCTGAGGGCTTCTGCTTGCGCTTGCCATACCACACTGGGCTGTTACTGTTATACTTGAATGAATAATGAGGCAAGGAAAAGAGACGCGAAGATGCATTGAAATGGAACGGGATGAAATGCATGTATTGTTAGATCAGAATGATTGACGAATGATGACTTTACTGTTAATTAGTCTAGGCAATGAACTTTTGACATTCGCAGATGCGACATCCACCTCCTCTCCTCTATGAGTTCTCCCTGACCTGACGCCGAGCAGCAAATCGCATGATGAAATACTTCAAATAGAAAGCAATGATGCAGAAATCAGACCCAACCCAATCCACTCAACAAGACAATGGAAATAAAAGCACGTATACATATACTCAAACACCCAGATGCTATGCATTAGCAGCACGGGGGGATAGGATCAAATCGCCAGCGCCGTCTTGCTCCCCAGTCCGGACCCATTCACCACAAGTGGCTGGCATCGATCCCTCTCCCTGTCGTTGGCCCCCTGGCGCACACTGTTCCTGTCCACCGTCCTCGGGCCCGGCGCGGTGGTTATATCAACCTGATCCGTCTTCTTCTCGGAATGGCTGAGGCTATTCGGCAGATAATACCCTTCGCTCGCAGCATAACCCTGGCCCTGGCCATGTCCATGACCCGAAGAAAAATAGCTACTCCGGTCAATCTTAACCCTGATCTTGGCGCCGAGGAAAAACGCCGTGTTGTACAGAGCGATGGCGCGCTTGGCCTCGTCGGCGGAGCGGAAGGTGACGCGCGCGAAGCCCTTGCAGCGGCCTGTGTCTGGGTTTAGGGGCATCTCGCACTGCTCGATGGTGCCTGCGTCTTGGAGGAAGAGGGTCAGGTCGTGGGGTGTGGTTGTTGGGCCGAGGTTCTGGATGAAGATGGTGCGGCGGGGTGTGAAGCGGGAGTTGGTTTGGAGTTGGCTTGGTTCGCTGCTTGAAGGTTTGCGCGGGTAGAAGGTGGTTCTTGGTCGGGGGGTGTTGTTGTTGTTGGTGTTGCTGTTGGTGAAAGGGTGTTCGGGGTGAGGGTGTAGCTGGGGGATAGGGTATGTGGGGAGCATGGCGAAGGCGAGCGTGTCGCAGAAGGAGTGGCTCAGAGATGGCGAGTGTGGGATACTTGGTAGTTGGTCGGTGAAGACGGGGACGAAGGGCTGGAGATAGGGGGGAGGAGGAGGAGGAGGGGGCATGGCCATCGGGTTGATGACCTGTGCATACTCTGGGCCCTGGCCCTGGTAAACTGGGGCCGGGCCTGGAGTCATTGGGACAAGAGGGGTGCTGCTCTCGTTAGCTGGATTACATCGAATATAAAGGAAAGGGGACGCACTCTGGGGAGATGGGTGAAGGAGGAATGGCCAAGTTCTGCGCGACTCGAGGAGGAGTCGAATAGCCTGCAACGTATGCCGGGGGAATCACACAGGTAGGGCTCTTCGTGGGACCTGCAACAGGCCTTGTAGGGGAGCTCGTTCGAGCCAGAGTGACGACGAGACTCTGTCCATCCCATCCGTTGGTGGAAAGTCTATCTGAGCATTCAGTTAGCCGTCAATTCGTGGCCATGCTCCGGTCTGACATACGGTATGTGCGCCATGCTTCGTCTTCATTCTTCACAATAATTTGCCCCAACCCAGTGGGAAATCCGTGCTGGTCGTCGTATACGACTGCCTGTCGGATATGCAAGGCCGTCTGGCGTACCATGTCCTTGAGCTCTTGCCAGCGGCAGTGGGCTGGTATCTGTTCTCTCAGTAAGACGTGCCATCTGGCTCAGCTGCGGGAGTTTGAGCGGTGCTTACACCCTGGAGAAATAGAACGAACTCTTCATCCGATGCTCGAGCTCGAGCTCGTCCTCTCTCACGTGAAGGCATGATGATAGCGGGTCCGGCTACGGATCTGCAGTGATTGAACGCCCCGGATATCTCTTCCTTCAAGTAGGAAAGTCAAGAAGAATTCTTGAATTTAGGCAACCTGCCAGTCTATATGCAGCGAAACGCGGATAGTCAGGCTGGGTCACTGCCCGAAACGCAACGGTCTGGGAAATTGGTGAGGGTCAGCATGGGTGTCTGACGTTCAATACTCAGCCAACAACTAATCAAGGGTGAGCTAGATGACCAGGAATGGTAATTCCTACCTAAAGGCCTGACTGGTCCTTCACTTTGGGGGGTACTGGTGGCAAAGTTGAACCTGATGGGTACCTGATGGCAGAAGAGAACAAATGGGGTTGTGACAGGATACAACGCAAACCCCTGGCCTTTTCGACGATGAAAGAAAGGAATAGATGATTAAGAGGAAGAAAAAGATGAAAATCAGGTCGTTTTATTCTCTGCAAGGTTCAAGGGAGATGATCGTACCCCGATATGAACCCAATGTTGAAAGAACGACGATAGTAGTGACAATAGCAGACAGGAAGAGATCTGGCATCAACAGCCACAAGTCCGTCTACTCGTCTAGACGTGGAGCGAGATTGGTGACTTGCCGATCCAAAAGTGGGATGTATCAACTTCTTGGTGGAAATCGAGTCTGTCTGTTCTGCACAGAGGAATTAGTGGAGCGGCCCAGAGAGATATGTCATGCATCGATCAACTGTGATCGATCAGATAGAAGACACGGAGAACAATTCTTGAAACAAAGGAACTCTTTTCCTGAAGGTTCTTATGGTCCTAGATAATACATCTGCTGTAGAAATAGCGCCTAAGCTGTCTTGCATACTCCCGACAACCGATATAAAACCGAAGAAGATCAAGTATGTTGGGAGCGACGCAGTAGTCGCTGTCACTCAGTCACTGTATATCTACGACGAGGACACAGCGCTTAGCGTCTTCAGGTTACACCGCCAGATCTGGAGGAACAGACAAGTATGGCTACTGGTTACAGAAGACGAGGCGGTCCGTCACCTGCATTTCGTTTGATTGATTCAGTAGATGGTTGAGGATGGGCAGGTATTGTTGTTGGTTGCCAGTCCATCTGCTTCGATGAGTATCCCTCGGCCCAAGGCGAAGAGATGACGATGTTGATGAATTTTACAGACTAGAAGTCCTTCAGAGATCCAAATCTGTGTGTGCGGGTTCTCCAAAAATAGGCATGATCATTATGGCCTTGTCAGGTATGACCAAGAACGAATGATGCGTCGAATAAGCATGTATTAATGCATTGATACTGGACTGTCTGACCACCGAACAAATGCTCTCGAGCCATCCCTTGATTCGGTCCAATTCAGTCATTCAGACAATACATCCATCATTCGAGGCCTTCCGAGATCTGTCAGGGATCACCCTTGAACTGCCTTGGTGCATATGAGCTATCAACCACCGCCTCGCCACAGTCACCGCTACCATTTCTTCGCTTTTTCCAGTCTGTCATTCGTCCACATCCGACAGGCGAAAGAATGTCGCACAACACACAGAGACGCCTTATACAGATAGAGAAACTAAGAAATCTGCCCATAGCAGACCGGAGTTGATGGAGAATGGGAAACAGGCCCCCTCCCTTCCCAGGAGAAAAGAACTGACTAAGACTAGGGGGCTGAAGGCGCGCAGGGTGCAAGTATGTCAATGGCTCAGCTGAGATAACGATACCTGACTCATCCGGGCATTGGATTCCAAATCCTGACGACTTTCCGAGAGAGTTTTCATTGACATGGTGGATATTTCAGCTTGCTTGCAGCTTTCGACAGTTTGACGGAAGTGGAACAGAAACGACTTAGCCTTTCAATGACATGAGCTTATCGTCCTTGTCATGATATCATACTTATGATTAAGAAATAAGTTGTCTGCAGATTGTGCCTTGTTCCTGGTGCTCAAACTGTTGCCTTTACCCTCTGAGCATGTACAACTCTCTCAGTCATTCAGAGTCTCAAGAGATTGAGTAGATCCCATCAGTGAAAATCCTCATTGTACGGAGTCAGCATACGCCACTTGTTTATCGTCTGTGAAGTCTACTATCATATATGCTGTGTACTAGGAGATAGGACTATGATCTTTAACATTAAGATTGTGGAGATCCTCCATATCTTACGGTTTCCTCTTGAACATAAAATACAATAGTTTATGCAGATCAATCAATAGATTATCCCTGCTGCTGGACTAATATTTCCCTAGATAATTGCGCCACCCCTTGAGATTGGCTGCGAAGATTATTTCGCCGACTGTGGCCACTGGGGGTCTTCCCGATCCTCTTTATGATAGATAATTCGCAATGCCAAGCGATCTGAAACAACCATTAAGTCAAGACACTATTGCTGATCATTATGACAAGTGGACTTCGCATATCACAGTACGCTGCATTCACAGTCTTGCAGGCTCGTCACAATTTGGAACTGGTATGTCCCTGGGATCTTCCAGAAAGTCCTGCTGCTGTTCCCTCGTCATCCACCACAAGAATAATGGGGTGACCCACTCGAATACCCTGGAAAGGACGGCGCCCATATCATGAGCCGGCATCCAGCCTCTAACGGCGGCCTGGTGGGCAGCTTCCACTTTCTTTCGCTGAATGTCTTCGAAGAAGCGGAAGCTGGCCGTGGGGTCGTCGATCCCGTACCGCGAGAGTACCTCGGCAAATTTGATCGCATCTTCCAGGGCATGTCCGATGCTCTCGCCCTTTGGTGGCATCTAGTGCAGAATTCATCAGAATGACATGGTTCTTAAGTGAGGTAAAGGTATCCTTTACGAACCGCATGGGCAGCATCTCCCAGAAGTAGTATCCGATCTGTGGCCCATTTCCCGTTTGGAGGGAGAAGATAGATCGGATAAAACGTCCAGTCCTCCACAGCCTCGATGAATTTCTCAGCGTCAGGAATGGCCGACTGTTGCGTGATTCTCTTCCCTTCCTTGCGGACCATCTCCTGGTCCTTCTCCAGCAACTTCCACCCTTCGCGGGACCCTTGCTCCTCCGTCTGCATCAGCACAACCACGTAGACGAGCTCCCGGGCATGATCGCAGAAGGTCGTCAATGCAGACCCATACCGCGACATCAGCAGCGCTGTATCCTTGAAAAACGGCCTGCCGTTCTCTTCAAGCACTTCCTTCGCCTTGACAAAGCCATACGCCGCCGCAACCCCGGAATACGAGGGTTTCCGGTCGGGCTGCACATGCACCCCCCGCACAGCAGAATGGATCCCATCGCACCCCAGCACCATATCCCCCGCGACGCTCGTGCCGTCTTCAAAGTAGACGCTCACCGCAGTTGCACCGGGGAGCTCCTCGACCCTCACCAGCTTCTTGCCGTACTCGAGCTTCACGGCGGGTAACCGCGCAATCACCCGCAGCATCGCCTGCAGGAGCTCATACCGCATCACCCGCCAGCCCTTGTACCCGGCAAACCCGGACCCCTCGGGACCAGTATAGTCAATCGTCCCGATCTCCTTGCCCGTCCGCAGGGAGAGGATCTGGATGGCGTCGACCTCGCAGCCGGCCTTCGCCTGCTTTAGCTCGTCCAAGACGCCAAGCATGTCCAGACATCGGAGGGCCTTGGGGGTGAGGTTTACCGGCCCGCCGAGGGTGCTGGGGACGCTGCGGAGCTCGTAGACTGTGATGGCTAGGTTAGTTTGTGATGAGGCGAGGGCCTTTGATATGGCGATGGCGGAGGCAAGGCCGCACATGCCACCGCCGATGATGATGATGTTTTTTCCCATTGAGCGTACTTCGTACTCTGTATTTTCATTCACAAATTCATATGATTTCCGCGCGATACATAAATCATAATCATGTCAAGGACACTGGCCTGGCATGTCTTTATACTTTGACCCGAAAAAGCGGTTAGTATCTTGCAGGAATAGGAATGCGAATACGAGGACTAAAGAACGGTGCCACGCCACAGCTGTTTACTCGACCGTTGTCCTTTGCTGTGGCGCATCATCTCAATACGAGGAGCTGAACTGCTGTGAAGTCTGTCTTGATAATGTGACGCGACAACGTTTCCAAGAATAGATAGATTGCGAGCTTGGTTGAGATTAGCAAGTGGAACTCTCGATTCAATCAACAACATGGTTCGAACAGCGATCCAGAGTCGAATCAAATCGTCGTCCGTCATTTGTCTAAATCTCAATCAACTGAAGATGCAGTAGGAACTTGCGACTTGTCATGGCTACACCATCCACAGGGTAGAGTAACTACAGGTTCATATACCACAGAGCTCAGACCCGCTGATCAGCGCCTTATCCTAATCAACATTCAATAGTGGAATCTTCACCCCACGGGCCGCCACATGGACTGATGCCGGGGCTAAAAGGGGCTCCCTCGTTCCCTCTGCCTGTGTCTTACCTGGGATTTAATTACTATCCTAGGTAAAAGCGTAAGTCACTAGGAAAGAAAGACACCAAAACAAGAATCGTAATTGCTCGAGACAGCCTGGGGAAATAATTGCGACTGTGTGACGCAAAAGGTGAAACACAGGTCACGGAGATCGACAGCAAGGGGGAGGGGTAGCTGGAGATAAGGCCCCTCTGCGGAGTATCCCTCATCTAAGGAGGGAGGTCCAGTAAATTCACTGTACAGTCTTACTCTGCAGTTTAATGGAATGAGGGGTGCTTGGAGACTCTGCACAGTATGTTGCACGGAGTTTCTACTATATTCCTCCCCCGTCCTGATGCCATCCATTCCCCGTTTGTAATGTGAGGGGCAAGTACCCATGCTTCCCTGGTTGAAGAACGGCAGAACCGAGACGCGTCGTTCTGGCGGCGGAGGATCAGCTCCAACCAGGGAGTTTAGAATGAGGAGTATCAGTCGACGCTGAATGATCTTCAGTTCTTGTGCTTGCGTGATGATT